CACCCACATCACCCCGCTTCTCCTCCAGCTTCACTGGCTGCCAGTCAACTTCAGGGTTCATTTCAAGATCCTGGTTCTGGTCTATAGGGCCTTACATGGACAAGCACCATCTTACATTGGTGATCTTCTTAGTCCCTACACCCCCAGCAGGTCCCTGAGGTCCAGTGATCAAAGCCTACTGGTTGTGCAGCACCAGGCTAAAGGTCAAAGGTGACAGATCATCTGCTGCTGATGATGATTGTGCACATGTAAACACACACTCATATAGCCACATGCACACAAATACATATAACTGAGTTTTTAGTGATAACAACTCTAAGCTGCTCACATCCTAAATACCTCCTACTCTACTACTGAAGCTAAAGTATCTTCATATTATTTCCTAACCTACTAATAGTTTACCATATGATTTCCACAACCCTCAATGCTCCTCCCCCATCCACACTGAGGTGACATGCGCTGCTTATAGTGGCTGCAGGAACTGAAGTGGGGATAGTCCCAACCCACCACCCCACCTAGTGGACACTTGTGTTGTCTGAAGTCTGTTGCATTTCTGTCTGAGGTGTTTTTTTGCAGAGCAAAGCTGCCCTCCTGGTGGAGGGTAACTCTGAAGTGCCTTTTTTCCCTCCACTTGAACCAATCCTCATGTAACCGTCTTATCTCTATTAAGGTAGCGCGACTCAGGGTTGAGAATGACCACAGTCACCAATTCTTGTCATGTGTCTTGCCCAAGTATGTCTGATCTCTGAATTGTGTGTACTGAAACTCTAATTTCCCTCTGGGATTAATAAAGTATCTTTGATTTGATTGATTTGTATTTTTATTTGATGTCATAGATTATCTGGTTTGTAACAAAACATATTTTTTCTGCTCAAACTCAAATCCTCCCTTTATAGACAAGATAGCACGATCTATTTAAGCGGACAGCCCCACAGAAAACAACCTGCTGCTGCCTTTAGTACAGAACTGGCAAAGCTAAGGCTGCAATTTAATTAGGTGTCCGGATTAGAGATTACCCAGGATTACTGTCATTAGAGATTATTGGGGTTTAATTGATGTGGCGAAACAGATGGCTGTAGATCGTGGAAGCACTGGGACATCATGGGTCCTCATCTAGTCTTTGATATGATCGGTATACCTTCATCCTGTTGTCACCAAAGTAACACGATTTAGATGAGATCGAGCTCCTCGACTGTTTTCTAATTCCACCTTTAACATCTCAAGCTGCTCTTATTGGTCAGCTGTGGAAGTGGTGTTTCCTTTGATGTTTATGCTTTCAGTGGCTGTGGTCTTCAAACGTACCGACAGCAGCAGAAATAAACGATGTGATTATGGGAAGCTGCTACCTGGGCTGTTCTGCAAGAAGACATTCCTAATTTTCTGTCCTCTCCTCCTTGTAGGAATTCTGAAACGCCGTTTCCTTCCTCTTGCAATATTTTATCATGCCAGAACCTGCTTCTGGGTGAGATCTCTCCTTAGCTTGTGTGCTCCCCAACCACACGCAGCTTGTAGGATATTAAAGTTGGAGAGGGACGGAACAGCAGCAGTTTGGTGAGAAGTCTATTCCAGCTGGAGCTGAAGGGCCTTTCACCCTGCAGAACGAAGCATGCACGCTGGAGCGGTTTACATTCGGCTGATTAGTTCATGGGAATCCAGAACACACCAGGGGTCTTATTCAGAAAAAAAAGCATCTTAAGAAGCTCTGGGGAGTCATGAAGCGTCAGTGTTCTGGTTTTATTGATCCAGGACATGAAATAATAGAAACGAGAGTTGTGGAGAGCCGTTTAGCTGCCTCCGAGTCCCAAGATAACATCAGAATGGGTTTAATTTGTTTTTACCATGACCACATTTCACATGGGATGCCTCCCCATCTGTGTGAGCTCTGGATGTTTCCGTGGGAACCGTGCATCACAGCAGGGCTTCTCCGAGCTTCACGCTAACGCTGTACAGGAACTTAAATAGCACAAATTAACTTACGGCTATGTTAAACAAAACACTCACACTTAACAGACCAACTCTAACAAATGAAAAGCTGCGTTTACTTAACCCGGTTGTGTGGACTGGTCCCACTACTGACATGTAAAGACTCTTCTGTACATGTGTTCTGTGTGTAATGTCAGAATCAAACACTTTGTTCATCGCTCAGTGAATTAAATTGTTATGAGTGGATAAACGGCAGCAACATCAGCGAGCTCTGATGATGGCTAGGGTCATATATGTAAGATGGACACACACGGGGAGATCTGAGCGGTGAAATGAAGTTACTGTCTGTTAGTCCCTGACCGCTTTACCTTTTTGTGTTTGTGTCTCTTATTGTTAATACTTTCTCCTGAAAAGTTTGGAGTAGATGTTCTAACCAACATTCTCAGGATTAATTGAAAAGTTTTTGATTCATGCAATTTGCCAGATGGTCCTGGATTGTTCCTCCACCTCAACCCTTGCTGCAGAGACGCACCATGCCAGCAAATTAGCGTAATATCACCGCAAATGTGTGTCTTATAAACGCGCCATGGCGACATGGCATTGAGCGAATTTTGCAGCATTCGTTCCACCTCTCTTGGTGGTAATATTGCTGTAATTGTCTGTCTTATCATCAGCTGTTGCGTTATGGCACAACACAAGGAGGGGCCATGATGACGTGGGGAGCTAACGCCGAGCTCCGGACAGCAACTCCACTGAAAATGAAAGAAAACACGAGCAATAAGTTTTGCTTTTTGAACAAAATCAGCTGAGATGGCAAACTGGAGCGCCGCGGCGCTCCGTGAGCGTCTCTGTTAGAGCTGGAGCTCAGGTCATGCACAGGGACTGATGGGGAAAGATGCAGCGCAGAGACCGCCCCCATACCCCCTTCATGCCATTGCCTAATCTTTTATAAAAAAGACACGATTGTGTCACATTTCTGCCACGGTCTGGCTACTTTTAAACAACCTGAAGCTTGGTTTGTGCTTGACACATTTACTTCCCGCGCGGTGGTGCGGCTCGCGGATGGAACGCGCTTCACAACTCGCAGCGTTTATGGTTCATGCGGCTCGTCTCTGTGGTGAGCCAATATTCTCCCAAACTGTAGGGGGCAGCATGGAGCTCTACGGCATGCATCCAACACTACACCATAGTAGAAGTAGAAATGACTGTTTACAACATGGCATTCCAGCATTTTTAACAGCGTCCTCGTCTTTTCCGACAGTGCGAGCTATTTCTCTCCAAGAATTATTAACAACATGTTGATCACGGTGATCTCTGAGAGCTGAAGCATACAAATGTCTGTATTTACCAACCTCTGCCATACTAGTTCTTGCGGTCCGCCATGTTTTTCCTCGTCCGACCGTCCGCGTGGTTAGAAATTTTCCGAGGTGCGCGTTGAGGAAATTTTGGGCCGTGCGGAGGCGTGGTTGTTAAAATGACGCAATTTCGCCGCGCAGAGCCGTGCGAACCTCGCGGACGCGTCAAGCATAAACCAAGCTTTAGGGTCCGTGATGCCGCCATGGCGTTGTGGCAAATTGACGGCATTGTTTTGTAAAAAGGGCTGCTGAGAACATCAGTCTGAGACAGATCCCGTTTGACCGCATTTCAGGAAAACAAAGGCCTGTTGTGTGGTGTGGACGATCCCAAACTTCTCACAATCTAAGTGTCAGGTAGCCTCCACCCTCACATCACTCACACCTGCTACCACTCATCTCATCAGCCTACTTAGTCATCTCCCACTCACCTATCAGATCATTGACGCCTCCGTCTCTCCTCGAGCTCCTCACTCTGCCTTGCTCCTTAGCAAATTAGTTGGACTCTCTCCTCAACTCACAGACTTCCTCCCCGGCTCCCGCATTTGGTCGACCAAAACACCTCTCTCCGTGGCAGCGCTGGACGCACGCTCAGCTCTCTCTCCAGACCGTGACACTAAAACCCACAAACGTCGACCATCTTCAGCCTGGATCCTGCTCTGACCTTCCTTTGTCCGTGGCTCTGACCGTGGCTGGGCTGGTCAGAGTCCATCACGTTTTTCAGCCAGGGTCCGGCTGGCCTCTGCCTGGCTTTATCTGGTGTCTGTTAGCCTGAAGTGGGCTCTCCATCATCTTTGGACTGGATCGCTTGTGTCTGCTACGCCCGCTTAGAGACTGGCCCTGCAGCACCCCCAAGAGCCTGGTTCTGCTTCGACCTTCCGGACCAGGCCTGTGTCAGCCACCTGGACCCTGGGCTTCGCCTGCTGCTAAGTAGGTGCTAACTGCAACAACCTCCTGGAGACGGAGCCTTCAACACCTTCCTGGAGCCTGATTAACTGCTGAGCTGCTCACAACCTTTATTCTGCTGATTTGATGTTTTAGAAGATTGGAGATGGTTCGGCTCCAGAGGACGTAAAGCCTGAAGCAGATTTCATCACACAAAGAACCTTTGGTGGATCAGACTCAAAATGTCACAATCCCTGTGTTTGCTAACATCATGTAATATTGTTAAAGTTCCTTATGAGCCCCAAGACTGCAGCACAGCCCCTCCGCCTTTATCATACCCTGTGGAGGAACATGTGCAGCTTACTGGATGCTTGGGAACAAAGTTTTATAGAGCTCCGGGAGTTGACGTCACTTCTCCCGGCATGCAACAGTTCAAATCAAAACGGCGCCATCTTGGCAGGCAGAAGCCGGCAGCTGGACTATTTGTTATTGTCAGAAAACTCAATCAAACGGGAAATATGGTAGATTCCTGTTGTGCCCCAGGATGCAGAACAGGCGCAGATGACTTAAGGAATGAGCCATCTACAGGATTCCCCAAGATCCGGAGCGCCGCAAACGTTGGATCATTGTAATAAAACGCGCTAGTGACCGGGCTAAAATGAAGCTGTGGGACCCCGAGAGTAAAGGATTTCGCTTATGCAGCGACCGCTTCATATCAGGTACTTAAACCAACGTTTCCTCAACTGTGTGTGGTGTTTATTTTAAACGCTTTTATTATGATTCTTAGTGGGCTTCCTAAACTTATTTTGGCGTGGCTTTTTCCATCTTATTACTCATAGCAACAAGTAAACGTCATGTAAAACGTTGCCTCGTGAGTTCTGCGTGCTGCCGTTTACGTGTTTTATGATCACAGCAATTAACCGACTAAGCTGTATTTAATTTTTAAGCAATGGTTGATCAATTGTCAGATCACACATAAAAAGCACTTTGGATTGCTATTATCTGTCTCACCGAGACAGATCTCAGACAGATCCTGAGACGCTCCTGCCTGACATTTTTATTTTATTCACGGATAAAATCAAACTAGTGATTTCTCTTGGTGTTCAGTTTATACATTCAAACAGCACAGCACTCGATTTAAACTACTTACATGTAAATCTGTTATTTGTCCATCCATCCATTTTCATCCGCTTATCCGGAGTCGGGTTACGGGAGCAGCAGCCTAAGTCGAGAGGCCCAGACTTCCCTCTCCCCAGCCGCCTGAGCCAGCTCCTCCGGGGGAATCCCAAGGGGTTCCCCGGCCAGGTCCGGTAAGAAGCCCGCTCCGACAGCTTCTGGGGTTTTTAAAAAGTATCCCAGGGGCACGGTAAGGGTCGGAGATGTTTAGTCTATTTAATTTCTGACTATATAAAACGATTTATTCGGTTTAAAAGTGTGAAGTAAACTCCGACGAAGTAAAATCCAAGCCGATCCCGTTCAATTTGTTTACATTTGTTGCCTGCCGACATGGCGTCTACTCTCTGAGAGTCACGTGACGTCCGGAGCTCTACTGAGCATGGTCCAGCCAGCCGCGGGGCGTTTCTGTTGGGCTACAGAAACACAGCGGGTTGTTGCCCAATCAGGAAGTTTCAGTAGTATTTTTTGATTCTCCTCACAATCATCCAACACTTTGAGGCCTTGAACATGGGGCATAGCATTCTTACAGGAAACAAGGAAATCACCAAACTCTCTCTACTTTAGTGACTCCTCTGGTCCAATCTTTGGTCAACTGCTTAGTTATGCCCGAAAAGCTCTTTGAACTACAAATGGGTGGCCATAACGTTTGTCCAGAGCATCCCGAGCTTGGCTGTAAGCTTCCTCATCACTGTGATAGAAAGTCCCTTCTAAAACACAAAGAGCTTCTCCACTGATGTACTTATTCAAGCAGAACAGTTTACGGGCTGGATCTGTGCAGCTAGTCTCAATAAGAGCCTCGGAGCAAGTGCTCCACTCATAAACTTCAGTGGGTCTCCTGTAAGGGTAAACGGCTCCGGTACTGGAAGTCTAGTCGTTGCTGAAGAGTCCTTCAAAGCTTGAACTGGAGATAACTCACTTCTTTTGACGCTACTCCGGTATCACAGTCGGGCGCTGGGAGGTATTTTGGGATCTCGTTGGTTATACCTTCAAAGTTAGGAGGTGCTGTTCTCTGGAGAGCTTGGAGGACTGATGAGGTTTGGGAAGCTGACTGAAAGACAAAGTACTTTTTACTTCACTGTTTCTTAGTTCAGCATTCACATTGAATTCAGCCTCAATAACCTCAAGATCTCTTTGCCTTTCCAACCATTTTAATCTCTCTTGTTGAGCTAATACCTCCTTTCTTTGGGCAGAAGCTTGTTTCAGCTGGTTTAGATGCCAACCGTGCCGCTGCCTCTGCCTGACTTCCTTGCTTACTGCAACTGTTCTGGCTACTTTCAGCCCTAGACACAGTTGAGCCATACGATGACTCAGCATCTTCTCTCTGGAGCAACTGAAGGAGTGAGTCTTTCACAGCAACTGCATCAAACTCCTTATCGACATCTGCATAGCGCCTTTTCAGAAGCAACATCATCTCAGTAGAAACTGAAGGGTTGGGGTTAGATGGAGTAGTCGGTGTACGTAATCTTGCTGTAGGTCAGATTCACACTTTCCTACTGATTTTTCAGTTAACTCTGCTTTTGAAGAGTCTTTTTTAAGTTTGGACCTAGGGAGTTGAATCTCCGCTTTAGAGTTTACATACCGGTATGCTGACACACTTTCTCTCTCTGCTTGTTATCTCAGTCTGTTTAAAGTCAGGCGTTTTTCCTGTTAGTTGTCTTTGACGCTCCGAGCGTCTCACCTCTGTCTCAGGTTGGGATGATGGCTGAAGCAAACCTGTTTTATGTGTTTCAAGATCTTTTTCACCTAAACGTATTTCAACTTCCTGTTTTTCTGCATCTTCGACTTCAGTTTCTAATTTCTTTTCTAGACGTGACCTTTCAACTTCTGAAGCTGCAGGTACTTCCTCTGAAACACGAGTTTCTTGTGCACTCTGCTCTATTTTAAACCAACAGCTAAGAACAATGAAAGAAAACAACAAGAGAACACGACTGCAAATATCAAACTGTAAAATAGTAACAAACTTTTTTTTAACAAACTTTCAAAAAATATAAAAAATCTGCAGCACGCACCTTTAATGTCCGTTTTTCTCCTTTCAGCTCGTAGATACAGTCTGACCTGGTTTCCATATGACGTTGAAAAGCTCTGCAAAGTTGCTCAACTCCCAAAATGTCGTATGGTATGTTGTTCTTTATTTCACTCGGATCGGGCCGCAGACTGTTCCGTGTGGACTGCCGTCTTCAAAGCACGGCGTGCACGGCTCTGGCTGCGTGCTTCGTAACAGGCCACGCTTTCACTGTCACTGCTCATGAAGGACATTTAGTTTTTGTGGAACAAAACGCCACGCTGCAACTGATGTTCAACAGGTTCTTTTATCTTCTTGTTAGCAGCAAACACCATGGGAAACTACGGTGAAATGGACAACAATAAACACAAATATTCATTTTAGTGACATAAATAATTACTCAGATATTAATGCTAATACAGATAAATATACAAACACACTGTGCGCGCCTCTCCGCTTAATATTCGCAAGCAGTTTCAGTCCATGTCCACTTTTCTTCGTCCAATGCGAGCTTTTCTGGCCGCCTCTCCGTGCTGCGTGTCAAACATTCACTCCACTCCTTCATCTCCTCACGCTTAGACTACTGTAACTCTCTTTTCACGTGTCTGAGCAGAACCTCCCTGAACCGTCTACAGGTGGTTCAGAACGCCTGTGCTCGGCTTCTGACCAAGTCCTCCAAACACACCCACATCACCCCGCTTCTCCTCCAGCTTCACTGGCTGCCAGTCAACTTCAGGGTTCATTTCAAGATCCTGGTTCTGGTCTATAGGGCCTTACATGGACAAGCACCATCTTACACTGGTGATCTTCTTAGTCCCTACACCCCCAGCAGGTCCCTGAGGTCCAGTGATCAAAGCCTACTGGTTGTGCAGCACCAGGCTAAAGGTCAAAGGTGACAGATCATCTGCTGCTGTGGCCCTCAGACTCTGGACCTCTCTCCCCCTGAGCCTGAGATCAGTGGACCTTCCTCAGGATCCACTGACTTCCCTCTTTCCTGTTCACTCTCTCTCTTTCTTAACATTTTTTAATAACAATTGTCTGTTTTTGCTCATTTTAAATATGTTTTTCAACATTTTCTAAATTATTTTTTATATTTATACATTTTTTGTTTTTGTGAAGCGCCTCGTAATTTTTATCTTGAGAGGCGCTTTAGAAATGATTTCTTCTTCTTCTTCTTCTTCTTCTTCTTCTTCTTCTTCTTCTTCTTCTTCTTCTTCTTCTTCTTCTTCTTCTTCTTCTTCTTCTTCTTCTTCTTCTTCTTCTTCTTCTTCTTCTTCTTCTTCTTCTTCTTCTTCTTCTTCTTCTTCTTCTTCTTCTTCTTCTTCTTCTTCTTCTTCTTCTTCTTCTTCTTCTTCTTCTTCTTCTTCTTCTTCTTCTTCTTCTTCTTCTTCTTCTTCTTCTTCTTCTTCTTCTTCTTCTTCTTCTTCTTCTTCTTCTTCTTGCGTATCTTCGAGTGCCACACTTCCAACCAGCCAGCAGGTGGCGTAAAATCAACAAAGAAATTAACTTAAATATTTCCACAGTTGAACCAAACAACTGAGAATGAATAACCACATCTAACTGTGACAGTTACAACATTTGAAAACAATCAGACCAAAGTGCTGAGCAATGTTTAAGAAGAACAAATGAAACGGCAGTAAAAGTAACAGTAAGATCAACAAAAACAAAGTAAACCAGTACTAGGATACCAATAACACTCAAAAGCTACAGGACTATCTAACTGGATGTAAAACCTGTTGTAGCACGCTCACACAGAGGCACACTTACAGCCACCGCTTTGCTGAGCGTAGACGTCGTCCTTCATTATCAGAGGAAAGGAGCCGAGTGGTAAATGCAGAGGTCGGACCTTTAGGAGCTCTGACAGCAAACGGCTACGTCTTAAAACAACACGAGGTGTGACTGGAAGCCGGTGCAGGGACTCGTTCTTTTCTAGTTTCCGGTTAAAGTCCAGCGGCTGAAGTCTGCAGCAGCTGCAGACACAACGGTGTGCTGGGATAGACCAGCATCGGTCCACAGGTGGGGTCACAGTCGGACATCCAAGTAACAGACCCGGTTTCCACGTCCAACACGGGTCTGGAGCAGGGCCGAGAGCTGCTCCACCACCACCGAGCCTTGGGAAGCGCTTCCTTAGTTATGTGCACAACGGTGACCTTTGACCTAGAACCGATTTGAGTTGAACTGAACTTCATGTATAATAAACACATTTTAAGGTTTTTAACAGGTTAAATTCTATATCAGAGAAAGTCCCTTTAGGAGTCTCTACAGTCCTATCTTCTGCGTCCTCCACCCTCAGACCAACTAACTCATGTCCTCTCTCACCTCATTCTTAAATCTCCTGCCCTGACATGTCCAAACATCTCAGTGGGACGTGATCATCTAACAGGCTGTTCCTCTGATGGACTCGTTCCTGATCCCACCCTCCTCACTCCCACAGAGAGCCTCAACATCTTTGGAACCTCCTCAGATGTTGTCGGACTTGTCCTCACCCAACATGGCTGTCCTCACGTCGGTCTTCTACACCTTTCCTTTTACGCACATCTGACATCCACCCCTTCTAACCTGCTCCACATGCTTCTTCACCTCTTTTCCAACTTCTCTGTTGCTTTGGACCATAAACCCTAAGTCCATGAAGACCTCTACCTTCTTTCCTTCTACTGCCTGTAACATCACCGTTCCCTCTCGTTTACACACATGGATTCTGCTTCTCCGGGACACATCTCCACCTCTCTAGCTCCTCCTCTACCTGCACCATGCTCTCACAGCAGATCACTGGCATCTGCAAACATCAAAGTTCATGGAGACTCCTGTGGCATCTCCTATCAGCCCGTCCATCACCAAAGCAAACGTGGAGGGGCTCAGAGCAGATCCTTGGTGCACTCTCAAATCCACCTTGTAACTCCTACAGCACGCCTCGCTGCCGTCTCACAGCTCTTCTACATGTTCTTCACCACTCTTAACACTTTTTGGTAACTCCAGACCTCCTCATGCACCACAGCTCCTCTCTCAGCACTGCCATGAGCTCCTGACCTACTCTGCACTTCTCCGTTAGCATCCTTGGAGCTAAGGTAGCATCTGTAGAAAGTTTCTTAGTATCAAACTGTTCTGCTGCTCACCAATGTTCACTTCTGAAGCCTAGCCTAGCTCCCATTGCTAGCTTGGTTCCTCTGTAGCGTTAGACTTGATAGTGCATGTTTAGTTATGAACAACAACATGGCTGTAGTTACCACAGTCGTGTGAGCATCCATGGTTGGGATCACATAAAGAGTGATTTAAAACATGATGTTTCCTACTTTGCTGAGCGGCGAGTTGTGCTGTTTTAGAACACGCCCGAGGGCACCTTATGGGGCACCTTATGGGGCACCAGGTTGGTGACCCCTGGTCCAGACTGATGAGACCTGACCTGCATGTCCATGTCATGCTGACTGGTGGGAAACTCTAAACGTGATCAACTACATGAAGGTGGTGAAAGGCTGAAATAATCTCATATCATTTAAATATTGATGTAAATGGTTCCTTCATCCCACCAAAGAGACTAAAAACGGACAAAATCCTTCCTTCCTGACAGAACCAGCTGATCTTGGTTCTGTATCTTGACGTTTAAATGGTTCTGACCCGAAACAGCCAGTTGGGTTGGGTTCTCCTCACTCCTGAGTGTTCCTGTCCTCTCTGGACGGGATCACCACCCAGCTACATCCGGTGATGGAGAGAAAAGCTGTTCTACAGCCAGGAGGCAGCAGGCTTCAACAGAAACAGTTCATATGGAGCAAGATTAGCTGCACCCCCCTCCCACTGCTCCGCTGGCCAATAGCAGAGCAGCGGGACTACATAAGAGCAGAGTGCTCCTCAGGAGCCTGAGCTCTCAGATCCAAACCAACCAGACAGAAGGGACAGGATGAAGACCGCTCTGGGACATCTGTCTCTCTGCCTCCTGGTGCTCTCGGCCTCGGGTTTTCCTTTTGAGAGGAAAGGAAGTACTCCGCCTGGAGCCAAGGAGAAGCGCGTGCAGTATGCAGCTCGGGATGACGTTAACATCATCGCGCATGGCCTGCTGCAGCTGGGTCAGAATCTGAAAGAGCATGTGGACAAGACCAAAGTCCAGATGAGGGACATTTTCAACAAACTGAAAGCATTTAATCGCTCCATGTCCGACATGGGAAAGGACAGCCTGAGGCTGCAGGCGCGGGCTTTGGAGATGGAGGACCGAGAGGGCCAGCTGCTCAACGTCACGGTGGAGCTGAGGGACAAGGCGGAGGAGGTGCAGCAGGAGAGGAGGACCATGAGTGAGAGAATGAGCCGGATAGAGGAGAAGGTGGACAGCATGCTGCAGGGAGACAAAGGACCCGACATCCAGGTGAGCCTGTGTCCAGGTAGATTTCAGACTAACGTCAAGAATTCGTGCTGCGGGCAGGACCGCACCGAGCCTGCGCTGCGGTCCCTGTAGGCGCTGTGGTTACTGCGCATGGAGGCGCTGTGGGCGCGCAGCACGCGCAGACAGGGACAAAGCGTCCCGCAGACAGATGGAGCGAATAGAAGCCGGGGTTCAAGCCCGCGGGACGAGCGGAGGTTTGTCGCTATGAGCGCAGAATGTGCGCTCAGCGGTGGGAAATCCGCTGTGGAGGCGTTACGTAACCGCACGGGGGGGTTCCCTTACGCACATCACGCAGCTGACATGTTTGTGTTTGTCAGCTGGTGCTGGAGGCGCAGAGCAGACGCATGGAGGAGCTGGCGGAGCGCGTGCGGCTCCAGCAGGACAAGCTGGACAAGCAGAGCACGCGCCTCAGGACGCTGCAGGGCCAGGTGAGTCGGCTTCACACTTCCGCTCATTGCTCAGGATCATTGTTGACCTGAGGCCATTTTCAGATCCAGCGCTCCAGACCGAGGCCCGAGGCGCATGCGCAGAACTCCGCCGAGGAGCAGCGAGACTCTCCAGTAGGTGAGTAATTCCGAACCTCTCAGAAATCCTCCTGACTGAGTCTGAAGGTGACTTGGCAAGCTCCGACCCTAAACGTGGCGAACCATCTGTTCATAAAGGAGCTTAAAGGGTTTCTGCAGACTTTACCGAAGAAAACACTTTACAGGAAGGGACTCTTAACGCTGCGTAGCGCGTTATTAAGCATTAATGAACGGCCTCAGGTCATGCTTAACATCACGTCATACCATGCATTACTAAGCAGACCCCCCCCCCCCCCCCGCGCCCAAGTGCGTAGGAACGTGTTCAATACTGGAGGGGACACGTCCCAGGTTCCTACGCCGTTGCGCCCCCCCCCCCCCCCCCCCCCCAGATGGAAACTCAAAGAAGATGCGTTTTAAAAAGTTGCAACTAATTGAATTGACACCCGGCGTGAAGGGCGTTCATACATGTGACGACGCCGTGTTCTAGAAGGACGGCGTGAAACAAAACAAAAGCTGCTGAATGTAACATCAAGAGATTGAAGACACGCAGCTGTGGAGTTTTGCTAAATTATGTCTGCATAGTCCAAGTTCGGAAACAAAAGCAGACTTACAACACGTTTCATTATTATGAGATCAAAACAACCGATAGATTCATGCAGAGTTTTCAAATGTGTAAAACTAGTTCTTAAGAAATCTCACATAAGATTAAAGACAAATCAGGTTCCAACCAACCAAAACTATTAAAGTGTATCCGATGGTAGCATTTGTGAAGAGTCTAAAACAAGTTCAGATCACCATAAACAGCAGAATTAGACGTGTTTCTCTGGAAAAGCGTAGAACTTGATTGTTTTATATTTGGTCCGAAGACTCAGCCAACAGAGAAATGGAGTTTTTGACAAACCTCTGTGAACGGACCGTCCATTAGTCAGTCGTACTTGCCGGCTCCTAGAGCCCAGATCAGCATCGGAACCAGGTCGGGGAGGGCCGCGCTGAGTTCCAGAAGAGGAGCCAGAGCTTTTAAAAGCTCCAAGCGGGCCAGGGAAGCTGGTTTATGGGTCAGAACCAGGTCCGAGGCTCCTGCCCTGAATAGGATGACAGGCGTCTGACCCGCTCTCTAAAGCGCTAAGCTACGTTAGGTAAACGGATTCAAACGAGTAGGAAACAGCTAACAGACGCTCATTATGGTTTATTATTGTCAAGAATCAATATTATATTAACTGACATAATACTTTAATCGTGTGGAGCACGACAGTGGTCTGGTGAACTTTATGATGCTAGCACACGAGTTTAAGCTAGCTAGCTAGCATCGTTCACTCCGCGAGACACCTGACACCAAAGCTAACCTCTCCGCTTTAACCGATGGTTTCTCCCTCTGGTTGGTCTCTGCTCTCTGGGGCGAGCAGCAAACTCATAACTCTATGGTTCTTGTCCATCTGAAGTAGAATTATACAGGTGCTGGCCAGTAAATTAGAATATCATCAAAAGGTTGAAAATATTTCAGTAATTCCATTCAAAACGTGAAACTTGTACATTATATTCATGCAATGCACACAGACCAATGTATTTCCGATGTTTATTACGTTTAATTTTGATATTTATAGGTGACAACCAATGAAAACATCAAATCTGGTATCTCAGAAAATTAGAATATTCTAAAGGCCAATGAAAAAATGTTTGTTTCTCTAATGTTGGCCAACTGAAAAGAATGAACATGAAAAGAATGTGCATGTATAGCACTCAATACTTAGTCGGGGCTCCTTTTGCCTCAATAACTGCAGTAATGCGGCGTGGCATGGACTCGATCAGTCTGTGGCACTGCTCAGGTGTTATGAGAGCCCAGGTTGCTCTGATAGTCGTCTTCAGCTCCTCTGCATTGTTGGGTCTAGCGTATTGCATCCTCCGCTTCACAATACCCCATAGATTTTCTATGGGGTTAAGGTCAGGCGAGTTTGCTGGCCAATCAAGGACAGGGATACCATGGTCCTTGAACCAGGTGCTGGTGGTTTTGGCACTGTGTGCAGGTGCCAAGTCCTGTTGAAAGGTGAAGTCTGCATCCCCATAAAGTTGGTCAGCAGCAGGAAGCATGAAGTGCTCTAAAACTTCCTGGTAGACGGCTGCATTGACCCTGGACCTCAGGAAACAGAGTGGGCCAACACCGGCAGATGACATGGCACCCCACACCATCACTGACGGTGGAAACTTTACACTGGACCTCATGCAACGTGGATTCTGTGCTTCTCCGCTCTTCCTCCAGACTCTGGGTCCTTGATTTCCAAAGGAAATGCAGAACTTGCTTTCATCAGAAAACATAACTTTGGACCACTCAGCATCAGTCCAGTCCTTTTTGTCCTTGGCCCAGGCGAGACGCTTCTTGCGCTGTTTCATGTTCAAGAGTGGCTTGACACACGGAATGCGACACCTGAATCCCATGTCTTTCATGAGTCTCCTCGTGGTGGTTCTTGAAGCGCTGACTCCAGCTGCAGTCCACTCTTTGTGGATCTCCCCCACATTTTTGAATGGGTTTGTCGTCACAATTCTCTGCAGGGTGCGGTTATCCCTAGAGCTTGTACACTTTTTTCTACCACATTTTTTCCGTCCCTTCGCCTGTCTGTTAATGTGCTTGGACACAGAGCTCTGCGAACAGCCAGCTTCTTTAGCAATCACCTTTTGTGTCTTGCCCTCCTTGTGCAAGGTGTCAATGATTGTCTTTTGGACAGCTGTTAAGTCAGAAGTCTTCCCCATGATTGTGGTGCCTTCAAAACAAGACTGAGGGACCTTTTAAAGGCCTTTGCAGGTGTTTTGAGTAAATCAGCTGATTAGAGTGGCAGCAGGTGTCTTCTATATTCAGCCTTTTCAGAATATTCTAATTTTTTGAGATACCAAATTTGGAGTTTTCATTAGTTGTCACTTATGAATATCAAATTTAAATGTAATGAACATTGGAAATACATTGGTCTGTGTGCATTGCATGAATATAATGTACAAGTTTCACGTTTTGAATGGAATTACTGAAATATTTTCAACCTTTTGATGATATTCTAATTTACTGGCCAGCACCTGTAAACATGTAAAGTTTCCTCTGTAGTATACATTTTTATTTAGAACAGGTTCCTGTTATCGCTCTCTAAATATTAGTTGAAAGGAGGCTCTAATCCTAACCAGTATGCTCTTTAAAGGTTCCTTATCATGTTCTTTGATCCTATAGAAAGCAAACGTAGGCCCAGGATGTGACCAAACATCACCGTTGACACTATTGAGATGTCATTCATCTACCGGCCATCTCACCATGTGCTGACGTGGGTTAGACTCCCAGCAGTATCACCTGGAATTTCTTTAGCCAGCAGCAGCAGATTTCATATTTTAGTTTATTGGTTATTTTCTGCAGATATTTGGTCTCTAAGGTGTTTGGATCTGCTGGTTTCCAAGCAGCATGTTAGTAGATTTACTCTGCTCACCTCACATGGACTCACACTGGCTCAGTGAACACAGAAAAATTGATTGGTCCGTATACTTTAATCCGTTTAGCAACAGAGGGTAGAAAACATTAAAGTGGAAAGAACAAAGTTAAGCCTGATTTATGCTTCTCCGTCTGCGTCAGTGCGGAGACACGCAACACCATTATCCGTCCTTGCGTAGGGCTCCGGCAGCACGCAAGTTTGTACGGAGTCGAGCCCACTTTTTTAAACATCCGTCGAACGAGACGGATTACGCAAGCTTGTGATTGGTCAGGATGCCGCTGTTGTTTACAGTGCCGCCATTGCAAAGAGAGCCGAGGATAACTAGCGGCAGACACGGAGAAGCTTGAAGAATACCTCGCGAAAAAACTCTAAAAATAAGAACGTTTAATTCTCCCATGACTGGAGGAGTGAAAAGATGCACAAAAAACCTGAAAAAGCATGAATGCAGGCAACAATGGTTGTTTTCCATGAGAAATGGATAATATATGGTAAAAAGATGTAAAAAAAAAGTAGATTTTCCATGATATGGCTCCTTTAAGGATACAATAACAGTAACATTAATAAAGGGATGCTTTGTTTATTACTGCTTAATAATGCACTAATTCATGTTAATAAAGGGACCCTTCCAGGAAAATGTTAGCAAATGTAGTTTTATGTTCTTAAAGATAAAAGTAAATCAGTTAAGAGTTCACGAATGAAACCACAGGAAGCTGAAGCCACGCCCATCTACTTCACCAACAATGAATGTGAACGAGCCAATAAAAGCGAGTGTCTGATCCTGCTCGATGGGTGCCGTGGGTTTCACACTCGATGTCCATCAAAGACACATTCTGATGCAAACAAGGTGCTCAGTTTCAAATAAGCACAAAAGTGCTTTTAGGTTTTGTGTTGGGAGATGTTCAACTCACCAAATGTCGCTTTTACCTGGCTTACTGCTGGTTCTGATGCTGGAGGAGATGTAGCCACGGTTGGGATGTATGAGTGTTTTCTGCCTGAGCAGAGCCCTGCCAGACTCGTCCACGCCTCCCACCAGGGTCACAGGCAGGCTACCTGCTGTATGAGGCCAGGACTCACACTTTTCCTTTTGAATCTCGTATTTAGTAATAAATGTAAAAACTCAAATTCCACATTAAAGCTGCCGTTTGACAGACTTTAATAAATAAACACTAAATCCAAAGCAGATGCTGAATGCTGACGTTGTCATGCAGAAAGGAGCAGAGTTACAACATGTAGCTGTTTTACAGCCATAAACCTAAAGACACCAGCTGGCCCAGTTCTGCTTCTGCTCAGGAGAACCTCAATGTCCTAAAGGACAAAGACGTCCGGGCTCGGGTCGGAGACGTGAACACGGTGGGTCCACACCAACGGTCGGGTTTCATCACTGAAACTCCACAAAGTTCTGACATCAGGAAAAGTTTAGCAAAGTGCCAACTGGGAGAAAGTTCACTGGTCTGTCAGGGTCAGAGTGTGTGTGCGTGCGTGTGTGTGTGTGTGTGTGTGTGTGTGTGTGTGTGTGTGCGTGCGTGCGTGTGTTTTTCCAGCTTGAGCCAAGAAGTAAGAACAGAAAAGCAGTCTAAATTTATCTGACCTCAGTTCAGATATCCTCTTCTGCTGTCATGATACTTGCCTCGTGTGTGTGTGTGTGTGTGTGTGTGTGTGCATGTGTGTGTGTGTGTGTGTGTGTGTGTGTGTGTGCGTGCGCGAGTGCGTGTGTGCTTGGGAACTGGGAGAAAGGTCATGTTTATGATTCTGAGGGATTTACCACTCTCTTGTTTCCAGAAGCTCTCTCTCTCTCTCTCTCTCACACACACACACACACACGCACGCACGCACGCACGCACGCACGCACGCGCGCGCGCGCACGCACGCACGCACGCACGCACGCACACACACACACACACACACACACACACACACACACACACGAGCGCGTTGGGATCTCCAGGCTGGGTGTGATAAACACTCGGCTGATAGTCTTATTTGCAAACACCTTTTCTGTGATTGACCTACTTCTGAAGAGCTGCTGAAGTAAACAGGTCCGGGTTCCTTCAGCGTGAGTCATCACAACAGCGTCCTGAAGAGCTCGAGCGTACAGCTGATACCCGGGGAGGAACCCATCAGCAGGCGTGATAACCAGACCGTCCTCTGGACGTGCGTCTGAACATCCCGCCGTCTGGAAGTTTTGGTCCCAGTCATTCCTATGGAAGGGGCGTGGCTTAACATACGGACTTCAGCCAGCCACTAGGGTGCCTGTCCTCATCTGCATTAGGTTTCCTTTCTTCTGCATTTGTGTATTGGACAATGCTCAGCTGCCTCATCTTCATCTCTGAGATGTTAGAAGAAGTCGTGTGAATCGTCTGACTTATAAAACGAACCCAACTGACCTGACGCCTGACCTTCTCTCCCTCTGTTCCTCCTACAGAAATGGCAGCAGACTGCCACCAGCTGTTCCTCAGAGGAGAGACCACCAGCGGGGTCTACACCATCCAGCCACTCCACTCAGAGCACTTCAATGTCTTCTGTGAGATGACAGCTGGTGAGTAGACCTCAGCTGTCTGCTTTGTGAGGCTTCTTCTGTGAGCTGATGTGAGATGCTTGATGAACCTCTCCACCTGGATGCAGATGGAGGATGGACAGTCATCCAAAGGCGCCAGGATGGCTCAGTGGACTTTGACCAGCCGTGGGAGGCTTACGAGAACGGCTTTGGCAGCCTGAATGGTAAAATCTCGCTACCTGAAAGGTCATCCTGGGGTCAGGGCTCCCTCTCCTCCCTTTAAATAAACGAGGTACTGTTTCCTTCCTTATGGTTCTCCTCTTTATCAGGAGAATTCTGGTTGGGTCTGGACCACATCCACACCATCGCTAAAAACGGCAGCTACGTCCTGGAGATCAAGTTCTCTGACTGGGGGGACGACTCCGCCTCTGTCCGCTTCCCTTTCAAACTGGGTGGGAAGGAAAGCAACTATTCTCTCCGGATCCCGGACTCCGGCACCTTCAGCACCCTGGAGAGCTCTTTGGGAACGGATGCTGTACTCGGCTTGCCGTTTTCCACCAGCGATCACGACAACGATCACAAAGTGGACATGAACTGTGCCAAGCACCTTTCAGGTAGGTCCCAACCACACTCTGGAGGCTACTCCGAGGCTCCGAAAGCCTGCAGCGGCTAACCAAACCTGATGCGCTTCCTGCAGGCGGCTGGTGGTTCACGAACTGCGGCCGCTCCAACTTAAATGGCCGATACTTCCAGAGTCCTCCTCCAAAGCAGAGGCACCAGAGGAAACAAGGGATCTTCTGGAAGACCTGGAGGGGGCGGTACTACCCCCTGAAGTCCAGCACGATGATGATTGCTCCAGCTGACATCCACAAGTTGTAAACAGCAAAGAGTCGGTTCTTTTCTTGGTGCTGGTTCATGAGGACTAGGTCCCTGGTTCCACAGCAGCATCACACCAGGAGGCCCCAAAGCCACAGAAGGAAATCCAGACAGTTGGTGCAGCAGATTTCATTTTCTGTTGCTCTGCTGAGATTTCCTTCTGTTGGCATCAGCGAGTCTGGACCTGCACGCTGCTGAGAGTCGGGAGGTATTTTCCAACAAGCTCAGACTCCTGGCTGGGCCTGATCAGGCTCGGGTCTGAGGTGTGAAGACACAAAGTTAGCCTGAACACAGCTGGTGCTAGCAGGAGTTAGCCAGCTAGCACCAACGGACCACTCCCGCCTGCGTTAATATCACTTTTCAGCATCGGAGTAAGACTTTCCTGTGGAGAGTCGATGGCATCGAGTCATATTGACTTGTCTGATTGAGGCATTAATGTAACTTTTTCTAACCGGACCTGTTTCAGACTTGGTGTAAAAACCATTTCCCACAGACGTAGTTTATTACAGAAGCTTTCTTATTGAAGAGAAACATAAATATATATTTGTGCTGCTTCCTGTTCATTATTTATTTGGTTTTGTGTAATAAACAGTCACGAGCAAATAAACCTGATTTAAACACCGTTCTGTTTGTTTTCCTTGTAGAGAGAAGCCGACGGGATCATAAAAACCGTTTACCACGAAAACAAGAACAAGAATTAAACGGTTACCCGCGTAGCCGAGCGCCGGGCCGGCTAAAGCTTCAGATCTAAAAGAGAAACGAGTTCTTTGCAGTAGATAAGCTCGTGACCTCTGCAGCCAAAGGCATTACCTCCAGGAGGAAACCCACATGCCCAGGACTCGGATCAGCAGGTGTTTCTAGGAGGCACCTCGGTCGTCTTCTCTCTGGATCACAGGCCTGTGAGTCACGTGTGTGACGACCTTCGTGTGACCTGAAGCTCTCCTGAGTAGCTTTAAGGCGTCAGCTTTGATTTTCAGAGTGACACGTTGCCCCAACGTACCCTGCTTAGTTAATGTGCTTCAGCTGAGCTCTGAAGAACCTGGCTGCGGTTACCCGACCACCTTCCACACTCTACTGCTTTCTTCTACAGTCTGCTCTTTAACTGTACTATTTCCTGTTATTTCAGCTGTTAACGTTATTTTCTCTCTAAGTGTCTGACTTGGTGCTTTATAAATAAACTTGAATTGAATTGAAATGAGTGTTAAAGACCCTTTTTACTGTTCTAGTGTTGTTTTCTATGCTCTTGTTGCTCGATCCTGCTAAACACTTTGCTGCCGTGGCTCTTTTTACCGTGCAGCATGAATAAAGTCGTGTTGGGTCGTCAGAAGCAACGTTCTCTCGATGCTGGTCTGCAGCAGGTCACGCACACACACACATGCACGCGCACACACACGCGCACACACACACATGCACACACACATGCACGCGCACACACACATGCACGCGCACACCCACAATCAGAGACAATGGGCTGATTGATACGTTTATTATTGTCATGTATAAACCGTGTTTGGGTGGTACAAAGCTGTTAAAGACCCCAGTGCCCCCCCGTTGTCGTTGCTGCAGTAAGAACAGGAAACACCAGCTGATCAAGACGCCGTTTGGCAAATCTAAGTTATGGACTGAAAGGCAAGCACACGTAGCTGAGTGAGGGAGAGCTGCACGAGCGTATCGATGAGGAGACTTTGCCAGCCCCGTTTAAAAAAACAATAAAAATTCATAAAAATATTTCATCCTAAACAACGAACCCTTAAAACACGCAACCAGCCCGGATCCTCGCCCTCGCTCCTTCTGCTAACTGCAGGTGGACTTCCACGGTGTGGAAACTCCACCATCATGGGGGGGGGGGGTCAAAGGCGTTCGTGTGTGTGTGTGTGTGTGTGTGTGTGTGTGTGTGTGTGGGGGGGGGGGGGGTCAAAGGCGTTCGTGTGTGTGTGTGTGTGTGTGTGGGGGGGGGTCAATGGCATTCGTGTGTGTGTGTGTGTGTGGGGGGGGGTCAACGCCGTTCGTGTGTGTGTGTGTGTGTGGGGGGGGCATTGGCGTTCGTGTGTGTGTGTGTGGGGGGGGGGCATTGGCGTTCGTGTGTGTGTGTGTGTGTGGGGGGGGGCATTGGCGTTCGTGTGTGTGTGTGTGGGGGGGGGATGTCAATGGCGTTCGTGTGTGTGTGTGTGTGTGGGGGGGATGTAAACGTCATTCGTGTGTGTGTGTGGGGGGGGGGATGTAAACGTCATTCGTGTGTGTGTGTGTGGGGGGGGGGGGTCATCGGTGTTCGTGTGTGTATGTGTGTGTGTGTGTGTGTGTGTGTGTGTGTGTGTAACAGGGCGGAAAGTGGAGCTGCTGACGGGAGAGCGCGGCTCGTGGCTCGTGGATATCTGGTGGATATCTGGTGGATATCTGGTGGATATCTGGTGGATATCTGGTGGACTTTGTGGGACACAGACAGGGAACTGAAGGATGGGGGAAGCTAGACTTCACGTCCTCTACAGTCTCAGTTTAGAGGTATTGTTGTAGAAAGTGCAGCAGCATTATCTCGTAGTGCTCTCCAGACTCAGGGCAGCGGATACTGTGCCGCTCGTTGGGATAGACCTGGAAAATCAGGAGAAAACCATCATCACACGCTACAACGTAGCCACAGCTGCCCTGGGGTGGAAGTGAGAGGGACTCAAACCTGCAACCCTCTGGTTACAGGGCGGGAACTGAACTCCTCTTCCACCAACACCCACAAAAGAAGCTCCAGGGAACCGTGGTCCCTAAGGGCCGATGTCCAGCTTGTTTATGTTGTTTCCCTGCTTCACACACCTGCTTCTAATCAGCAGGTGATTAACAGGCCTGCTGCACAGATGACAACTGGGAAACAACTAAAACATGCTGGATGAGGCTACTGATGAATAAACAACTCAGCTGCTGAGTTCGCAGCAGCGGTAAACACTCACCTGAAGCTGATAAGGCTTCCCAGCACGGATTATCTGGGACACCAGGAAGTTGGTGTGGAAAAAGTGCACATTCTCATCTAGAAACCCGTGAAGAATCAGCAGACGGTTGGGCCTGAAACCACACGGGTTTGCATTTGTTAAACAGGAGGCTGTCATCACCTGGTGCAGGGGCGTGTCTTCTGGGACGTCCCTGCAGGTCCCCAGCCTCCCTTACAGCGGAGGTCACCCGACAGGTGCAGGATATACATACTCGCTGGGAAGCTTGTCCACATGCAGAGCCACAGATCCTTCCTCGTAGCCCTGCTGGTTCTTCTCAGGCACATCCATGTAGCGCTCCGTGTAGCCCGTGTCGTAGGCCATCCACACGGTCACCGGGGCTCCCGCTATGGCGAGCTGGGGGGGACACAAGACTCTAAAACAACCTCAGCAGTAGGTTTGGTTTAGAGGTGCAGCTGCTGGCCAACACTGACACCATGTGGTTGAACCGGGTAACAACCCTAACCCATGG